TCACCTCAGGCTTGGAGTTTCTGGTGGTTTCCTCCTTTTTTGCTAAGCAGTGGTCCAAGGTTCTGATAGGATGGAGTAAACAAGTCCCCCGGCTCCCATCCTGACTTTCAGGGGGCTTCCAGTATCTCTGAGTGGAGACTTAACCATTCACTGCCTGCTCTGTATGTCCACCTCTCCCTCTGAGCTGGGGATCACTGGGAATATGTGAGCAACCCTAAGGACAGCGTATTTTTATTTTTGCTTCATATTCTAGTCTCAACATACCTTTAACTGTATTGTTAAAGAAAAGGAGCAGATAGAGTTCTCTCCTCAAAGCCCACGAATACCTTTTATTTAACACAGAAATGTGGGCACACATTATATGGTATTCTGTGCCCTGCTTTTTCAGCTTCCCCCACTGCCTCTTGCAAGAGCTTACATTGGGGAAAAAAACCCTAAACAATCATTTGGTTAGCAATACAAAGCTTTACTCATTCTAGAAGGGCCAGTAATGTCCTTCCAGTGGGATTTGTGTCATGGTGCAGATGTACAGATAGAGACTTCCTGAAAGGATTTAGGAAGTGCATGGGGGTAAGAAAGGACACAGATTGTAAGAAATCTCTGATGAAAGGTCTGTGACAAATGCTGTCAAACTTCCTATTTTTTTTTTTTTACCATGTGCTTCTTAGCTGCCCTTTTGCCAGTAAGTCAGCAAAATATCAGCCATGCTATTGTCAGGGCCATAATCTCTATGCACCTTCAAAACAGCTGTTATCCCAGGGTGCTCCCTTGGAGCCAGAGATGCTTCCAAGGGATGAGTTTTTCAGCTAAGCCTTTGCCTTTAGCTATTTACTTCTGGGCTTTGCAGTGTGATATCTCTTAATAAAGATCATTGTATTGGGGTGTAGAATGGATCAGCATGAGACTGCTGTATGTTACCAGTTAAAAAAAAAGTGATTTCATGACTCTGCATGCGTAAACCCCATTACATTGGGCAGCAATGAGTATCTGATGGGTTCTCCTCCCCTCCCAGCATTGTAAACGCTGCAGTCTTTCCCATTTGGATCATCTCAGTATGTTGTGTCTGTTTTTGGGGTGTGTTGTTTTGTTGTTTGGTTGGTTTGGTTTCTGTTTGTGAGTTTTTTGTATTCTTCTCTCTCCCCGCCCGCCCTGTGAGCTTCAGTGGGCAGTGTGGTTTGGTTAGTAGCAACACAGGCATTGCATTGTAATGGATGTTCTGATGGAGTTCACTGATGCGACTAACCCTGCTATTCAGTCATGAAAAAAGCCTTGCTCTGTTCTAATCATGCTACGTGATGTCAAAAAGATACACTTCAGCTGTTACCAAATTCATGAGAGCCTGATTTACAGTAATTATTGGAAGAAAACAATCAGAGTCTGATTAGTTAGGAACTGACATGGTGAGGAAGGGAAAGAAAGGTTTGAAAATGTACTTGGGCGTTTATTATAACTAGATTTTTATTGTGGAAATGAGTAAGAAGGAAGAGGTTCAGGCATATTTTCTACTTACTTGCATAGAAGAGGGGAATCTGTTCAAATAGTTCTGTGTGAACCCTTTTCATAATGATCGTATTTCAGAATACCAGTGGGGAGGCAAAAAACGTGGGGTAGTTCTTGGTTCCCCTTTGGGTCTGAATTCCATTTAAAGGAGACCCTGAAGTACATGACAATACCTGGCACCTTAATCTAATTGCACCTCCATGGATATACTGTCTCTCCTTTATGATCTCCAAAGGGTCTTCCTGGATTCATTGCTCTTGTGACTTCATTCACGCTCTGTTTCCTGGGTTTGACTGATTATGGGAACAGAGGAATATAGTCCTACAGATGCTGTGTTTGGCCCTATCTGCCAGCAGATCAAGAACCACCAACCCATCAGCATGTCTGAGCACCCAGATATCAGCCTGTTGCCTCCAAAATGGTATCTGGAGGAAGGATTACACTGTTTTGAGATGCCGTACTCAGACTGTTATGGCTAGTTAGGCAAGCTCTATTTTATATGGCTTTTTGATTTTTCTAAGGTTAAAAAGATTGTATGAATTGCTTTTAACTGGACAGAAGCTTCAGGGATTTTGCTTTTTACTAGTCCATATGTTCCTGAGCTCTCCCCAAGTGCTTAGTGGTAGCTGTGTGGTCTCAAAGAAACAACCTGTTCTGCAAAAAGCACTTTTTCTGCTGACTTGGTATTGAGATACAGTGCTGGTGGTCTGAGGTGGGCTCTGAGTGTGATAAATGCAGTCTCAGTACAATCAGAAAAGTTACTGGAGACCTCAAGCGACAAGAAACTGCAGAGGTCTCCTAGCTTGAAAGCAAGATTTTGCTGTCATCTGCAGTGTGCTTTAAACAAGCATCTGTAAGGCTATAGAGAAGGGAGGTGGTGGGGAGAAACCCTACTAAATTTCAAAATGCATTGTTCTTACTGACTGAAGATTTACTTTCTTCAAGCCTTTTTCTTTACAGACAGCTTTCAAAAGTGTTAGAATTTAGTGTTTTTTGCTCAAAACCTTGCCACTTTGTGCATTAATATTTAAGCTGTGACTCACAAAGTACTGGGTATTTCCAAAATCAATATTTACCTGGAACACTCTTAATTCAAACCTGCTGGATTGAAAAGGGGGGGCGGGGAGGGGGGAAGAGAGAGAGAAAAAAATCTCATCTTTCACATTTGTTTTTAATTTGTTCCCAGATAATTGTATTCCTAAAATCATAGACTACGGAGGAAAAAAAGCTACCAAACAGTTGAGTCCACCTTGAACAAAAAATAGAATTTAGACCTAGGTTAAACATTAACCGGACTGGTCTCAGGCACAATGACCTGCTTATAGTGATAATGCCCAAATTGCATTGTTAGCTTGATTTTTGTTAACTAAAAAAATGAAGTTTCCTGCAATGACTTCCATACTGTGTGAAATCACTGAAAAGTTTTAAGAGCCCATACTGATATGTGTATATGTATGTATATATAAAATGGGCAGTATCTGCTTGGTTGTAATGGGTCAAATATGTCATATCACATAATTTTGTATTTTTTAATTAGTTGACTGTTGAGGTAATTTTCATCTGAGTATTCAAACATGTAACTTTGTAACCCATATGCTGAAAATACCTGTCTGAGGAACACTCAAAATTCATGTGCAGAGATAGGCATATATGAATGGAAAGTTTCTCAGCAGTGTTTTCCTAGTTCTTTTATTAATTGTTTTCCCAATTATTTGCCTGAGTTTGAAGATTTGAAAACACTATGTGCTTTGAGACCTTTTTCATGTGTCTAGAAATAGCAACCATTGTACACTTATATTTTTTCACTTGTTTGTATGGAAAAGGAAAAGAAACATTAGGAATCGTACTTGTGTGGTACATTACAAAGACTTGCAACAAACAGGATTTGAAAACATCCTGGAAAGTTTCCATAATTAGCGTAATATATGCCATAAAAATGAGCAGTGACCATGAAGAGCAACTCCAATAAGCCTGGGCAATACTGTATCCATAAGAGTGCTTCAGAGATCATAAATATATAGCCCAGTCATTAAAAAAAAAAAAAAAAAAAAAGGTACGCTTTATGTGTATTGCAAAATAATGTGAGATAATAAAGTTTTTAAGAGAAGCAGAGATGTGTTATATCTGTGTTTTCCTGCAAAAGGCTTTCCTAAGCAACTAGTTGAATTAAATAATATTCCACACCCTTAAATACCTCAGAACCAAATATTTTCTCCGTATTGGTATGCACTATTGATGCATTTAATGGAATATTTTATAATGAGCATAAAAACTCTGATACCAAACACAGACATTTACTTCAGCACACAAAGTAGGGGCTACAAGAATGATTTGTCAGCAGAGAGAGTTCCTTTCTGTGCTATTGGAGACAGTGAATCAGACAGTGGGTATTTGGGGGTGTTTCCAGTTGTGTCCTTTACCTGGAGAATTTGTTGAGGGAGTTAGGGATTTCTTTGATGCAGTTCTGATTGTTTACAGAGTATGAATATAAGATTTAGTGTCCTGGACGCAGCAGGAATTAGTGCAGTTAGGAAACAGCTCCGAAATAGAAGTTTTGCAATCCCAACCATGTATTCTTATGCTGTTATTTGATTTAGAAATCAATTCTAACTAGCTCTCAAGATCTTACTGATGCTGTAATTTCAGGCTCTGCCAGGAGGGGTCTGCTCTGCCTTTTCTCTGTTCATGGGTTGCCTTAATTCTAGGGCTGATCCAAGCATTTGTTTGACTGCATGATGATCTGAATCATGGAAGTGGTCCAGACTGGAATTTATGCATTGAAGTATAATCTTGTATTTTCTTAGAGTCCTTCTGTGATGAACTAGGACATTCATCGCAGCCTTCCCAATAAAAGAAACTTAGTTATTGTGTTTGATAGTTTCTTGTCAGCAAAATTGTGGTAACGGTGTAGAGATGTGTGTGGACCCTTGCACGTAAGTAGTTTTCAACCTGTTTTCTGATAACATCTTTTCTTGTAGGTAAGCAAGCTAGAACCATGTGGCAGAAAAATAGGTGAAGTCAATCCTAGCTCTTTGAAGCTGTTGGATCTTTAAAAATACCTTCCTGTTATGGAAAAAGTTTTCTTGTAAAAGGGACTAAGGAACACAATGTCTGGTTCGTGCAAAGCGTGGGGGGTTTTTTGCCCTTTTTTCTGTAAGCTAGGGATATCATTCATGTGTACGCAGTGTTTATTTCACCGAGATGTTTTTCAGCTCTGTGTTTTTTTCATGGAGGTGTTCCAGTGTGTTTTTCTGTTCAAGTCCGCGACACATGTAGGAAATGCACATTCCACTGCTCTGAAGATGGAAGTAGAGGATAAATGATGAAAAATAGGGACATATGTTTCAGATTTCGAGTTGTTCATTGCTGATCAAGTATTTTTCCTTGGTTTTGATAACCTAGCATGAAAAGATTTTACAAGTTTTCTGGTGATAGAACTCTTATTTTTAAGGTTTGGGTTATGATTAACACTTAATTTTTGTTTATCTTTCCCCTAACAGATTTATACGGATTGGGCTAATCACTACCTAGCAAAATCTGGTCACAAGAGATTGATAAAGGATCTACAGCAAGATGTGACTGATGGAGTCTTATTAGCTGAAATAATCCAGGTTGTAGGTGAGTGACTTTCTGGTTTTGTACCAGGTATCCACCAACTTGCTTAGAAATTCATTGTCTTTATCTTCTACGTAAACATAGCAGGGCAAATCCATCAAACTACATGGAATTACCTAGATAATTTTCCTTCAGAGACTTTGCTAATTAATTTGATAAAGCCTTGTCTTAAAGTGTAGGGGAAAAATATTTGATGTTGCTGATAAGATCTCCTGACACAGCAATATTGCTCCACTCAGCTGAATGTTGAAAAAGTATCTGCTGTGTTGAGCCTGCTGCCTCCAGTTGGATTTGGAAAATCATAGAATCATGGAATGGTTTGGGATGGAAGGGACCTTAAAGATCATCCAGTTCCAATCCCTGGCCACGGGCAGGGGCAACTTCCACCAGCCCAGGGTGCTCCCAGCCCCGTCCAACACGGCCTTGAACCCTTCCAGGGAGGGGGCAGCCACAGCTTTTCTGGGCACCCTGGGCCAGCGCCTCACCCCCCGCACAGGGAAGAGTTTCTTCCCTATAACTACCGTTACCCCTCGTCCTATTCCCACACTCCCTTTTAAAGAGTCCCTCCCCACCTTTCCTGTAGCCCCTTTAAGCACTGGGAGGCTGCTCAAAGGTCTCCCCAGAGCCTTCTCTTCTCCAGGCTGAACCCCCCCAACTCTCTCAGCCTGGCCTCCCAGGGGACCTGCTCCAGCCCCCCCAAGCATCTTCGTGGCCTCCTCTGGCCCCGCTTGAGCAGGTCCGTGTCCTTCTGCTGTTGGGGGCCCCCGAGCTGGCCCCAGCACTGCAAGGCGGGGTCTCCCCAGAGCGGAGCAGAGGGGGAGAATCCCCTCCCTGGCCCTGCTGCCCACCCTGCTCTGGATGCAGCCCAGGGCACGTTTGGCTTTCTGGGCTGCAAGTGCACATTGCTGGCTCACAGTCAGTTTTCCATCCACCATCACCCCCAAGTCCTTCTCCACAGGGTTGCTCTCAACCACTTCTCACCCATCCTGTATTTGTGCTTGGGATTGCTCCAACCCATGGGCGGGACCTTGTACTTGGCCTTGTTGAACATCATGAGATTTGCACAGGCCCACCTCCAGCCTGTCAAGGTCCCTCGGGATGGCATCCCTTCCCTCCAGCGTTCCGACTGCACCACACAGCTCGGTGTCATCAGCAAACTTGCTGAGGGTGCATTCAATCCCACTGTCCACATCACCAACAACGATCTTAAACATCCCTTTCCCCAACACCTACCCCTGAGGAATGCCACTCGTCACTGCTCTCCACTTGGACATCAAGCCGTTGACCACAACTCTTTGAGTGCGACCATCCAGGCAATTCCTTATCTACCAAGTGATCCATCCTTCTAATCCATGTCTCTCCAATTTAGAGACAGTGTCAGATGCTTTGCACACTGTCCAGGTAGATGATGTCATTAGCTCTTCCCTTGCCCACGAGCTCTGCAACCCTTTTGCAGAAGGCCAGCACATTTGTCAGGTACAACTTGCCCTTAGGGAAGCCACGTTGACTGTCACCAGTCACCTTGTTATTTTCCATGTGTCCTAGTATAGTTTCCATATATGCAGCTAGGAAGGGAGAAGGGGTATAATTTTTATGTGGCAGAAAAAATAAATCTTTCATATCGTGAGGTTTTGAAATAAGAAAAATCATTTATCATTAGGACAAATTTCAAATACAGGCTTCTATCTGCAAAGCCTTTAGTTCCCTCAGTTTGCGCTAATATTCGTGGATAATGAAGGTTCTAAACAATTTTCTTTGTTGGCCTCATGTAAAGCTGCATATTATCCTTCCCTTGGGCCTGGATCCTTCATTAGTTCCTTCAGAGGTTCATCCATCTGTTGCTGAGGATGCCACAAAACACATGCATGGGCCAGTGGAGATTGATGGAATCAGAAAGCCTGCTAATGGGAATTAGGACAACTATTGTTAGAAGCAAACTGACAGATTTGAGATGCAAATTAAGAAGACATCAGTGAAGTAACAACACATCAGTGCATGCATATTTATATGTGTTTAGATGATGTAAAGGAGCTAGTTCTCTGATTCAAGGTACAAATCATCAAGCCCTGTTCTCAGATGAACTTGTAAAGCATCATTCCAGTGGCTCCACTAGACCTGCACTGGAATACATCAAAAAAGATTTTTTTTCTGTCTTGAAGAGCAACGTAATATCTCAGTAGCATTCTACAGATCTGCCGTGCAGCTACATGTTGTAGAAAACTTCTATGTGAGAACATGTGTGTAAGAATACCACAACGAAAATGTGAATCCAGTTGTACCAAATATTTCAATGTAGTTGTTTGAGTATTGATTTCTGAAAATTCTTATGAAAGTAAATTATTCCCTCTAAAATATGCAGAAATAATACTGCTTATTGTATTTTGCTTTGATTCACCTTTGCTCTTTTTTAGCCATTCTTAAAGCTGCCTTTTGGCTAATAGTTAAGATTAGGTCTGCAAGCTTTCAAAAATTAAAGTACAAGGTGAAGGATTTCATTTCCAGAGAATGTTTTCCATGTGAAAGAAGGTTCATATTTAAATTTTCTCAGTTTAATCATCCAACTTAACAGTGAAGAAAAAGTCATTTGTATTTGCAGTGTATGGCCTCAGGCATGCTGCATCTCATTGTCACAAAGATAGTGATAACTTTCACACCTAGAAGCAGCTTTAACTGTAGCCTGCAAAATACAAGCTCTTTGTCCTAAAAAACAAGACTGAATACTAAGGAAGCTTCTATATGCATTGCAGGAGAGGTTTTTATTTTTTATGTTATGGTGTGCTATGAGTAAAAGCAGCCCATGAAGAGGGTTCCTCCTTTTTGTCCTGTGTCTGGACTATCTGAAGGTTATCCAAAGTCATCACAAATGATTCAGGTTTAATTATTAGTGATAAAATTTTTCTTGTATTCACCACCTGAGATTTACATTATAGATGTTGAATCTTGAAATATTAATATTCAAAGCTGGAAAAAGAAACAATGTGATGATTTTTTTTTTTTTAATGAAAACTCCGTAAGAATTAATGATGGTACAGAGACAGTGTTTGCAATCCTTCCTGCTTACCTCTAAGGGAAGTAGCAGCCTGTTTAGGAAGAGAAATTTTTAAAATTAGTAAAAACTGGGTAATTCTTTCAACTTAGCATCAAAACAAAGAGCAAATCTAAAAAGGCATAAAACCAAATATCACTGCATTTGACTTCAGAGGAGATAATCTTCAGACTTCAAAACTGCTATTCAGAGTACAGAAGTGTTATATGATGACAGTTTTTTCTGTTTGCAAGTGACTTGAACCAGAATGCAATGAATGCATTTTATTTCAGTTCAAAATTTATGAGTCTATAAAAGAATACGTAACTAGTATATGCCTTAGTAATGCCAGATAAACATAGTACCTATATTGAAATCAATGAATGAAGATATACTGGGTCTGTGCACACTCTGAAATTGGTAGTATATCAAATTGTCAATTGGTTCCTAGTGAGAACCTTCAATTTTCAAGACTTTGAATCAGTGCTAAAATTCAACTTTAACTCAGTCCAACTTTAACTCAGTTTTTCTACTGATGCCTAGGATATTTTGTGGAATATCTTAATTGATTGGGTAAAACCACAGTCAGATCAAATACAAAAGCTGTGGCTTTATTAATAGGGATGCAGACGTTGTGTTAGTGTTAAGTACTTACTCAGGTCAATAAAAATAGTATCAACAAGAAGTAAAATGTGTACATCAGTGTTGTGCTGGGCAATCAGTACACCATTATAAAAGGTGATGGGCACGTTGTTTAGTGTAGGTGCTTTGGATATGCTAAGATAGCCTCTCTTAGAGTTGTATCTAAATATTCTGGGTAGCTTGCATTCTGATGTAAAGTAATTGCATTAACTTAAACAGAATAGATATTTGCTCTATTTTTAAAAGCAATTTGCAATTACTCCAGATAACTATTCTAGTTCAAATTCATACTGTGATTTATCTCAGTATAGCTTTTGTCAGCTGTAATTAAAATAGTAATATTTCATTTGCAGGGGAGGGTTACAGGTTTATATTCCAAATCAGAATCTTGGGGTCAAGCCTAGAAGTACTCTTTTGTGATAACTCGTATCATATTTTGGGTGGAACATTGAACAAAGGTTAATTTTACTTATGTTTGAGTGGCTGTTCAGTTAAAAGCTGCAGGTGACAATTCCTGTGCAAATGTAGGAATTATATTGAACAATGTTCATTCATACATTCAAGAAAAGTAATCTCATGTCCAAGGGTATGCCTCAAGAACTGAATAATGCAGAAGAGATGCTCAGGTTGTAACATAAGGCTTAATTCATTATTATGAAGTGCATGGACTTGTTTTTTTTTTCTGTGTAATGCTTATTGAAACACTTTTGATTTGTTCTGATTATATTTTTTCATGCACTCAGTGGAATGTCATTTGCTGAAGACTTTTCCACCAGGAATGTGTACCTTTACCTTTACAAATGTGACACTGGCTGGCCTGTAGTATTGTTTGCAACTTCTAATGGTACAGGTTCTTTTTCACTTGTGTTTTTCATATAATTTTGGCTTGCAGTTTCATAATATGCCTTCTGTCAAAGTACATAAACCCAAATATTTCTTTAGGTACCGTTTTCCAAGCTTTGATTCAGATCCAGCTAATGAAAGCACAGTGCCCCTCATTGCTGCTTTCATTATGGACCACAACTGGTTTCTACTGTCTGCCATAGTACACTCCTCAATTTGAGTATAAATGGGAGAAGTTTGCAAACACTTAAAAACATTTGAACCAAATTCACTGTATTCACAGTGAAGACAAAAAAAAAGGTGATGGGGGGAAGCTCTGTGGACTTGCAAACAGTTTCGGAAAAATCTCTTGCATTTCACCTTTCTCTGATTGTGAATTTATGTCTTGCTCAGGTTTGAGAGAGAATTTCAAAGCCTTTCTGCTTGCTGTGACTTCCAGTTCATGCTGAAATGATGTAGTATTCCTGTGTGGCAAATAGAAACAATAGTTGTGAGAGTTGCCTATTTATCTCAGCCAGAAAGCTGTGCTTTTCAGCTGTGAAATTGGACACATTTCCAAGATCCCCTAGCAATCAGTGCCTTGTGCTATGAACTGTACTATCACGCTGCCTGCGGACACACCACGTTCTTATCTCATTCATTGCTCTTTCTTTCCGACCATCCTCACAAAAAAGGCAAATGACCTGGTACCTGCTGTAAGCACTGATCCTTGGAGCTAGGTGGAAGGGTCAAAGATAGGGTGCAGTTCACAGCCGAGGAATGGGAGCATCAAAACAGTTGCCTGGTGAATTAGGCAGATTCCTGCAGAGTGCCAAATATGCCTGTTGGCCACTGTGATGCATCTCCCCAGCCAAGGTTGGGTCTCACGTCTTGCCCTGCTGAGTTCAGTAGAAATGTAGGAGTTGAAGTCCAACCCAGATGCAAGCTTGACCTCCTGCCAGCTTTTCTGGTTGCTCTCAATGACACTTGCTTTTCGTAGCACTTGCACCAGCAGGGAGGAGCTGAGAATTGCATTAATGTAGTGAAAGGAGTAACCAAGAGCCATAGGTGAGTTGGGAGTGGATTGGAAGGAGAAAAGGTAGAGCCTAAACCTGCCCCGCAAAAGGTGATTGCTCATGGATAAGCATAAATATAGCACCTGATGGACCAGGTAAATTGGAGTAGAAACTCCAGTTCTTTTTACTCTTCTGATTCTCACCAGCTATTTCTGGTCATCTACATCGTAAATCCCCTGTGGCAGAGAAGGCCAACAGCATAAAAAGAAGTGGTAATTGGGAACTGATGAAGAATCATCAAGTGGTGGACAAAAAATTGCGGGTTTACAAGTGGGAGGAAAAGTTGCCTTGGTCTAATACAGGTTTTGAGAGGAAGTAAAAGCAACTGTTTAAAAACAACCAAAAAAGAAAAAGGAAAAAAAAAAAGTAAAGCACAAGAAGATGCAGGGAAGTGTTAGTAATAAAATAAAGCTACACATTAGTTGATCAGAAGAGTACAAGGATAGTTGATGATATCTTGCAGACTGATGAAAAGGTAAGAGAACAAAAGGAATGATTTCTAGGTGAAAATGGTAATATTATTAACCTCAGTCTAAAAAAGGAAGGAGGGGTAAAGAGATAACACCCCAAATAGTTGGTGTGTTAGATGTAAATTTCAAGAACTTCAGAATTCAAGAATGACAAGAACTTCAGGTGGCTTACATCTTGGTTTGCCATTCATTTTCCCTTATTACAGAACAGTGTATTTGTTAGTTTATAAGGTTAATGTTTAGTGTACAGCTCTAGAACCAAGCTTGTACTCCAAGCCTGTAAAAATACTCACACAGTGTAGAAGTGCTGAGTAAGTATTTTGGTTCTACATTTGCATACTAAAAAAACCCAGAAAAAGTCAAATGCTATACTGCAGCAGAATGGTGGAAACAAGTTACTAACAGTTTAGGCAGTTTCAAGTAGGTGAGCCCAGGTAGTTTGTGTACAAGAGCTTAAAAAGAGCCAGGTAAGAAGCTTTATGGTTTACTAATATGGGTTTAAAATATATCACGCAACATATTAGAAGTTGTAGAGGACTAGGGGAAAAACTACTCTTTTTTTAAAGGAAAACAAACAGATAAAAGATTGCTTCTGTATGATTAAATCTGAGATCACGCCTCTAGAAAGAAATGCATCTTTTTGTGTAAGACTGATAGACCACTCTGGGGAACAGTGCAGTGGATTTAGCTGCAGCCTTTTTCATATTGGCATCAATTCTTAAATGTGTTACTGTGGCATGAAGGTGTACTGAGACACCTCGGCGTGTTAAAAGGGGAATACCAGGCAAAAGTGAAGTTACATTAATTCTTCATCTGCCATTGTTATGACTGCTATTGGAATACTGTGCCAAATTTGATATTTCTAACTGAAGAACTTGAGATGGAGTTATGATTTAATGTCCTGAGAATATGGGACTGGTAGAAAATACAGCTTTTAATATAAGAATCAATGAGAAGCCAATCTGTTTGATTCATCAAATGGGATGTGAAGACCCACTGTTATTACAGTGAAAAAAAAGTGGGAAACTGAATTTTGATTATAGCTGATTCTTCAGTCTACCACAAAAAAGACATTTTAGGGTCCAGTTCTAAAATGTGAAACTGAGCAAACTAAGTGTTAGAGACACTTAACCACCTCAGCAACTTACTGTTTCACATGGGACTTCAGAGATTGAAACTATATTTTTTTTTTTGTGAGTAGTGTTGCATGTAAGTCATGGACAAGAAGCTTGAAAAGTAATCTCATGATTTGTGCTTTAAGGAGAAAAAAAAAATGAAAGAAGTTATTGATTGCAAATTTCCCATTTAGATTTAAAACTATTCATTATACAAGCAAATTAAGTGACATGCAAACATCTGTACATATGTAGTGTTTACTTTTCCACCCAGCAGTGATTCAGTTTCCAGAGTTTAAATGTTTTTTGTTGTTTAAAGGAGTTACCCGGCATTGTACAAGATGTTGTCAGACCAGTTGTTTTCTGCCCCCAGCTGTCTCTGGAGGCATGACCCACTAGAAAACTTCAGCTGCTTTTGTTTTGATGGGTCTCAGTATTTCACATACTCACTTTGACTGGACAACTACAATCTGAAACCTCTTTATTTAGCTAGCAGCAAGTGCTCTGGAAATAATTGGAATAGACATCCTTGGTATAGCTTTTTGATTTATCTCCTCTTTTTTGCTTTTCAGCAAATGAAAAGATTGAAGACATCAATGGCTGCCCCAAAAATAAGTCTCAAATGGTAAGTAGTAAAGTGGTCTGTTGTTGGTGTGTGCATGGTTTTAAGTTAGATTAAGAGTTCCTATATCCTTTGAAAAGAAACAAAATGAATGATCAAAACACACTAAATCAAAAAATTTCAAATTGAAAACTTCAGATGTTTTATGTATTCAACTTGGTTTTGACTGATAAATTTTAATTTGAAATAGTTGTTTTGTGTCTTGCTTGTATATAATATTTAAAACTGAAGAACAAAAAATTAGTGCAGTAAAATTAAAAGCGTATAGTACCTCAGGAGTATGTCTGCTAGGAGTATTGTTGGAACTAAAATTATAGTCAGAACTTTACTAAGAATGTACATAATAAGAACCTGATTTGTAAAATACATCCTAGGAGAGGAACATTTAAAACTTACAATACTTCAAAGAAGGTTATTTCCTTCTGTATCTTGAGAAAAAAACTGATTTTACAATACAAATTCTAAAATCTCCCCTTTGAATTGCAAATGTTCACTTTGGGATACATAACTATTTGTTCTGTGTGTGAAGCTATTTTAATGGTTTTTAATTTTTATGCCTCTGTTCCCAGCTGCCCCTACCTCCATGACTGCAACTTCAGCACAACCACTCATGTAGTTGAACAGAAGGTTAAAGATTTGATGAGAGTTTGTATTCTTAAGTCAGAAGTCACACTGTGTTCTGCTATTCTGTTTTGGTTTTTTGTTGTTTCTTGGAAGTTAGCGATCTTGATTAAACCCATAGAGCAAGTGCTCCGTAAAAGCCATCTAAAAGATTTATCGTTGCTACTTTTTATTACTTTGAAGAGCTTGGTTGCTATTCTTGCTGTAGCCACAACAGCTGTCTAGAGGATAAATAATTGAGGAAATTTTGACAATTACTATAATTTAATGTTCCACAAGTGTATCACAAGAACTGAATTTCATTCAGGACTAGGGTCTGTAATAAATTTCAGGATGCTGTAGCTGAAAGTTGCTTTAAGTCATTATTCTCAATGACAGAATAGCATTGTTCTGTTGGATAGTTGGATGCAAGCTGTTGGTTGCTCATAGAAGTCAGATCTGGTTATGACCAGAGGCATGCAGAGGGCATGTACTAGGTCAGGAATTGTGATGAATGCTGGAAAGAAGTGTTTGCTGTGCGTTGCCTCCTCTGAAGCTCTGATTTTATTCCAGTTCCTCATTCAGGAGGGTGGAGTGAATGGGACTGTCCCCCCCACTCAGGACACCAAGTGCATCAGTCACAGCTAAGCATTCCCAGTGGTTTTCCTCACATGAGAAAAATGAGGATTATGCTTATGCCTTGCTTTTATTAAGTGAGCATGCTTACAGAGCTCTTTAGCATCTTATAGTAAAGGTACTAAGACAAGAACATATAAGCATCTTTATAGGGGTGGTGTTCTTAGAGTTGCTTGCAGTGTTTAAGGAGACAGCCCTTTTGCAGGTGTCCTGCATTCTGGGAATAATGCCTACATTGCAGTGTTTGTTTAGATACAGTAGTCTTCATCCTCTGCATTTCAATGTACTTTGCTCTTAGTACAGCTTAAAAGCATTCTGCAGAGCGTGGGAACTGGTGTTTGTGTCTGGTACTTCTGGTTCAGAGAGGTGGCAGTGGCAAGGCTATCCAGTTAGTTCAAACACTCAACCAGGTGATGTCTAGTCTTACTTTCTCAAATGAATCTTTCAGTTGTCCATATCTATACTGTAGTGTCTGTAAGGTGGGCACCACAGATGAGTAGATTGGGGGGGGAGGGGCGGGAAAAGCATCAGAAATGAAGATTTAATTTTGCTCATTAAATAGAAATACAACAGAGCTAAGAGGGAAGCTTTCTACCATCCTCTTACCCCCTGTGGGCATTTATCTCATTTGTAGACTCACAATGCCATGAGGAGAGACACATATGCGCTGAATTGTGAAGAGCCAGCTCTCATCCAGCCAGATGTATCAGCATAGAAAGATGAAGCAAATCTGTCTTCCGATCCCATTAAAGGGGATGTGAAAGCAAGTATATTTGCTTCCATGTGACACAGTCCTTAGCCAGTAAAGCCCGCCAAACCTTAGTGAGCTCAACACATAGCCAGATCAGGTCTCTGCACTGTTGTTCTAATTGCTACAGCGTTGGAGAGCATCATACGAATCTGCCCAAATTGAGCATTAGAGACAGCTTGGGTCTGTCAGGCTCAAAGCCAGTGCTAATAAGCCTTGTCAAATTAAGTTTAGTACTGCAGAGCCATTTGGGACCATCAGTGCTTATCAACCTATTCCCAATTCCAGAAATGACATGACAAGGACCCCCACTGACTCGATGAAAAATCACTTAGGTGAGAACCTATCCCCACCTCATCATCTTGTCTGGGTTTCTCTGCTGTGGGGAGTATCCCTGTCTTCCTTTGCTCCAGATAAGAGTTGGCTGGCTTTTGTATCACCTATTATAGTCTATTCTATATCTTGTCCTCTGCATAAATCCTGTTCCATTTTTTTTTTTTTTTTCCAAACCTCTGTATTTTTGTACTGTAGATATTCCTCTAAACAAAAGCCTGTAATTGTGATGATTAGTTCCAGCTGGCATGCAGAAAAATCCTGTGGTTAATAGAGGATATAGTCATGTGGAGCACAGGCTCAGGGACCAAGAAGATTTGGAGACTGTCATCAGAACTGCATTTGGATTTTTAGAATGAAACCCCAGAAAATAATGGCATAGTTCTTAATAACTGGGCAAAGAAGGGTAAAACAAGACCAGATTCCTCTCCTACACGCTTCTGAAAAAGAGACTGAAGTCAGTAAACCTGAGTAGGGCTATCTCTGCTAATATTGTTTTGTTATATAAAAACAGAGATTTTTTTTTTTCTTTCCTCCCTCCTTGCTATTGTAGATTATTCTTATTGATGTGGGTACCCTTGCAAATGCTGAATGTTACCTATTGTAAGTGTGTTCATGTCATTTATATTTGTAAAATTATAAAGTGAACAAACAATAGAGTATTTAAGTGAGTTGTTATATGCGATATGTTATGTATCAAGTCTGCCTGTCATGGCAGCCTGTAGAAATTTTGCTCTATGGGGTCTGTATTCTGTCTGTGAGGAAATATGTTGTGTAAAATGCTCACATGTTTTGAAGGAAGTTTCACAGCATTGTTTTGGCACAGTATTATAGCTGAGCATTTTATTACATTATATATTAATATATCCTTTTTGCATAGCATGGCAAGGAGAGAGAGGGAGGGAGTTGTGTTGTGTTACCTGTTACATGAAAGTGATAAATCTTCACAGTTGAGATAATGGTAAAGATTAGATGATGTAAGAAGAAGACAAAAGACAAGACATTTGAAAGATCAGAGCATTCAAGTGGAGAGTGAGGTGAAAGAAAGAGAAGATCCCCGTCAGCTAGACTAGAAGTGACTGGGGGCAGAAACAAGTAAAGAAAGTTAATTTTGAAAATGTGGACTTGAAGAAAAAGAGGAAAGGAGATACTAACCAGTAAAGGGATATGTTGGCAGACACAGGAAACAGTTGAAACACAACTGAAGATGGGACTGGAAGAAGGGATAAAAGAAGTACCAGCAAGGTGTCTTATAGGAGGGGTAGAGGGTTTTTGCCATCTTGAATGTAAAGGTAAAAAATACTGAATGTGGCATTGGAAAGAGATAAAACATATCTTTATATATATTTAAGAATAAAATATGAAAGATACCATGAGAAAATAAATTTGTTTTTCCACGGCTCAAAATAAAATAAAAAAAGCACATATTATGATATTCTAGAAAGTACTGGAATGTTAGGTGTGAAAATCTGAGAAGTGATAATGTGTTGCCCTTGTTGCTGAAGTCTGAAGGAGTGGAGTGGTAGCAAATCTGTCAGTGCTAAGGAGAAGAGGATGGTAGAATCTGTAGGTGGATACACCGGCCTCTTTCATCTTTCCGTGCTGAGCATGGGAAGTTGTGGGACACCCAAGACAAGAATTTGGAGCAACAGAAAGGCATGTAGGCTCATCCAACACCACAGTTCCCTCCTATAAATAGAGGAGGAAATAACTGTGGTTCTCCTGTGGGTTTGTGGTTGGGTTGTATTATTTTTAAGGATGATCACTTTGTGTATATAATACCTGTGTTACCAAGTAACAGAAAAGGGGTGTGGGGGGGTTTTTTGTGTGTTGACCAGAACTTTTTCAGGAATCATCTCTTTCTGATGCAGATATCAAGCTGTGCTAGTAAAATAATACTGCTCAGTCTTTCTACTACTGTTTGTCTTGCAAATGTAAAGAATCTTGTACTGTGGTATGGGTCAGAGCCTGCATTTCTTCCCAAGGACTTTATGAAAGTCGAGGCAAAGGCCATGGTTTCAATATGATTATTTCATTTACAAGGAAACCTTACTTCAGTGATGGCAATTGGACTATTATTACATTTGGCTGGTTTCTTGTACTCTGAAAATGAATTGTTCTGTAACGTATGCAACACCCAAAGTCAACGAACAGTTTCTATGAAATTTTTCCAGCCTGATAGGGACGCTGCTTTTCAAGCGAGTAGTGCTGGGAGTTTTAAATCAGTTGTCAGAGCTGAAACTTCCCTCCTCAGTGTGACCCTTGCCAGCTCCACCCCTGCTCTATGAATCTTTTTGTATTGGTGAAAAGAGCATGAGATGGTGCAATCTTCATTACTGCTTGTGTGTATATCATATGCTACGCATATCTCTGTGTTCTTTCACTCAACACTTCAATGAATTGAAATAAAAAATATGACCGCTGGTGCGATATGGCCCATACTTAAAAGGTGTAGCTGGGTACACATTAATGAGTTGGTTGGCAAGAATAATAGGAGCTGAAGCCATCTAAATCACCCAGCAGTTAACTGTGTGTATGTGATATCCACTAAGTGGGCAAGCTGATGTGTTTTATACAAATAATTAAAAACGGCTGCTGTATAAGAGGAAAAAACTAAATATTCTTAGCTGCTTGTATTTTTCTAATGGAAAATAATTCTGTCTTCACTCTGCAAGAGCAGGCGTCT